CCACTCTGATACAGTACATACCATAGTGTCTAACACAACGATTATCAACGGCCCTTTTTCGAGCCTTGGCCGTCGCTCGGCTGCCACTCACACGAGGCTACCAAACACCGCGTCTCTGGGAGTCTTTTTGGAGAGCCTCCGGACTGGTAGCGTCCCTTCCCAGCGTCTACGAGTCGACGGCCGCCAAGTTGATCGGCGGATTTTTCTCACGGGCCACCGCCGCCATGTTCCTCTGCAACCTCGGGCGTCGACCGCCTCTCGCACGGCAGAGTCGCAAGCATCAAGACGCATGAAATAATCAAGCTCCGGGTCCTGGTCGTGTTCGTGCTTCGGTATCATCTCTAACTTCCTGCGACTTCTCGTATTCTCACCGGCTCTGACTCCATTGCGCCCTCTCGTTCACGCTCGAATCCCCAATCTCGCCGGTGTTCACATGACTCACATTCTGCAACGGTGGGGAATCCAAACCAAATGACTAGCACTCGCGTGCACATATCAGACGATCGTGCGTTGCCAAGGCTCTGCAAAGACGCCCAAGCTGCTACTGACCTGCTGTGAAGACGGGGTACTACTATGAGCGACGCAAGAACAAGGCCGAGACCAGAGAGAGTCGTTCTGGGGTGGCCTGCTGCCAGATGTGAAGTCACATCTCACGAAAGCTGAAAGGGGGAAAGGGGGGCACTCAAAGACTGGTCTTGCACAGGTACGAATGCAGCTGGTGAGTGAGATCTGCGCGCGCGATGTATTGCTGACGTGTTGTCATATCAGACTACAGATACCATCCACACGCTCAGCGCGTTGGTGCAGATTTGCCAACACCCCAAATCCGTGGAGTCTGGTGATGCTCACATCGATGATGAGCCGTTATGCGGTCCAACTTGACAGACAGAGACAGCTCGCCGGATGCGGTGAAGGAACGCGCTCGGGCCCGCATCGACCACGTGTGTAAGTTCGTTGCTACCGGCAGCGATTGGTTGGCATGGCTGCCACTAGCCTCGCAGCCGTGGCAGGGCGTATGACGCACGGCATCACACGCAGCGGGCACCGTGATATGATGCTCATGGCTTCGCCGGCTTGATATGGAGGCTAGGCGAACAGAGCAGTTCGGAGACTCATGTCGTCTCGGACACTAGACGGCATGCTGTATACACATCTGGCTTACACTGTCGGCTCATGACCTACCTTGTTGACCAAGGCAGCATGGTAGGCTGGGCAGACGGGCAACGAGAGCCAAAGTCGGTACGTCGTCTCTGGGACACTTGGTATCGCTGCGACGCTTGCTTCATTCTGATCTCCTTATCTCACTCTGACAGCTGGATCTTAGGGACTCGAGCTCACTCGTTGCGGACGGCAATGGTCAGCACTGGCTGTTTCAGATCCCAATAGGGCTCTCGATAGCACTGCTCAGGCGCGACGCGGGTGCCGGCAGAGGACTTGTGCTCATAGACTCGCGAGCGGCCCACGGGGGACTGTAGCGTGCATGAAAAGTAAAGGATCTACCGCATAAAATGACGTACCTGGATCCTCTGCGCACCGGCGGCAAGCTCGCATTGTGTGGCTATATTGTCACGCCCGACCCATCCACATGCGACGCTGGCAGCTGGAAGCAAGAATAAGGTGCGTACCTCGTCTTCTGTCTTTCTCCCGGTCTCCGTGAATATTACTTACGCGCATATAGTCACTTCCCGGAAGGCGGATCTGGTGGGACATGCTAGGTTATGGCTCGTGGGGCTGCTGAACTTGTGTCAGACGAGATTGGGTAGCCTACCACGTGTGTCACAGGCCATGGATACCGGCCGCCTTGGTCTCAGTGGTGAGGTCGTGTTACGGAGCTAAGAGACGCAGCCCCTCGACAGGACGCGACCCACGTCAAGACAAAACAACCACCAGCGGACTGGTGCTCTTGCGAGCTCTCTGTGCGGGACTCTTCGGTGCGGCGGTGTGAGCTCCTCTCTCCTACCTCGTACACCCTATCCTGACTTGTATGCACCACCCTGCATACACTATACTGCTTAGGCACTGCGGTAATCAACGCTCCTCTTCGAGTTCTTGCGCGTCACTCGGCTGTCGCACACACGAGGCTACCAAGCACTGCGTCTCGCGGGCTCGTCGGCTGAAAGTCCGCATCAGCTGAAATGTTATCGACGCGCGCAAAGCGAGCGAGCAGGGGACACGATGCTTGGAGGGGAAGCTCATGAAGACAGGCATCCTTCTGAGATAACATCCCCATAGCCGCCGTCCATTCCTCGTGTGGGCCCGATCGAGCCTTGCAGGTAACTTCGACAGTGGATACCACTTCTGGGGTGTTCTTTGCAGATCTGAGGGCCCATTCCGACACAACGCCACAACTATCCCAAACCTGCGCGGTCTCTTCTCTTCCACATGCCAGCTCGCTGACTCCATGCCAGACAACCGCCTCCGTGTACGTACTTCCACTTGGTCCGATTTCGCGGCCTGGGAGCTCGTGAGAACACCATGTCGGAGAGCCATCGGACTCGTGGCGTCTCTTCCCAGGGCCGACGACCAAGGCTTCTATCACTCGCGAATCCCTCCGTCGAAGCCGTCTCCCGCGTCTACTATCGACTCCGCACCCGCGCCCGTCCCGGCCGTGAGGAAACTCCCCGAGTAGGGCTCCGCGAGCGAGTGCCCTGTACCTGCGCATCTCACCTCCTCTATCCACAGCAAATTCAATATAGGTGACCTCCGTCGAGAGACGCAGACCTATGCATGTAACGCGTTTCGTCTGTCAACTTGCTGGGGCCTGCCCTGCCACATCTGTCGGCCACGGATCGTCCGACGTGCGAACGGCGCCACACCCGGCTTGTCCCCGGTTGTCAAACCTTCATTTTAGGCTGCCGGCGCAATTGTCTGCAAACATAGCTTGGTCGTATACGAATTCCACGGTCTCCTGTTTCTTGTAAGTGCGGTCCCGTTCAGGAGTCGACTCAATTGTAAGGCATTGCCTCTCTTTACAAGTGCGAGCGGCGCCTCGCACGAAATGAGCCGCTCACTGGAGCGCAACATCGAGCGTGCGTAGGGGTCACCCTCGTTATCATTAGCCTTGAAGCTGGTAGAAGGTAATAGGACAGTTACCGTAACACCAAAACACCCAGACCGTCCAGGTTGCGTTCCAGAAGGTACCCGACAGCGTGGGCTCTCTCAGGCTCAAGCGGGCTAAAAGGCATGTCCCGCACTTTGGATGCGTACACGGCGCACGGTCCACGAAGCGCGCGGGCGGCAAGATTGCTACGCAGGTAGCGCGGACGCTCCTGGGCACGCACGAGGGATCGGGATATCCACCGTTCGCAATCATATCCGGATATGCGGTTGCGCGCCATGCATATGACGGGATCGGCACGGGGACGTGCTGGAATTCCAAGGAGCGCACCTTGGTGCATGACCTGATATTGAATATTGAGTATCGGTCGCAAATGGACTCATGAAGCCGTAACGGCCTGCGTCGGACTATTACGTCGCCTGACGAGTCGCTCGGAATCAGACCGTCCGGCTGGCCTGGCTACTCCCCTGGACACTGACAGAACACACACCCATCCACTGAGCCCGTTGTGGACCCGGAACCGATAGAATCAATCCACATTCACAGTCGGAGGGCCCGTAGCGGAAGCCGCCGGAGACAGGAGTGCGGTGGGAGACGGAGCGGAGGACGTATAATGACCGAGCGAGTGTGGCGCCGATAGACACCGAGCGAACTTGCCAAAGATGGTATGAAAGAACCAAGCGCTATGGCGCCGACGGTACATGGCCGCCATCGTCCCGCAACCATCAGCTCACCTCGCGCAGATGCCATGGCGGCCAACGGCAGAGACGAGCCCTGCACGCGTGCTGTCGCTAAGACACACGCAAGGAGAGGCCTGGGGAGCAGTACATACAACGTCAAGGAACCGCCGCACG